AGCAAATCTCAGATATCCAAGGATTCAAGAAGCATCAGAGAAAATAACCCCTGAAATTGTCATTTCCTAACAAAGGAATGTCTTTGGTTTAGAGTTTGTGGGAAATAAAGCAAGAATTCTAATGTTTATGAGACCAAAGTAATCACTGGAAGAGAGTAGAACTCACTGGATTATCATCTTAGTAACTCAAAAGAACAACTGAAATAGAGAAAAAGCATGTTTAATTTGGAATCACTATTTCTGGATCTGTTCACCAAGAAGTGTATACTGTCTATTTCTCTTTTGTATAGTATTTGTAAACAATAAATATTCTATAATTTGGGTATGGGTCTTTATGTTTTACCTGTCTTTGAGGAAAAATATAACAACTTCTCTCCAGACCCTCCATGTACCGGACATGGAAGAAATCGTAAGCAACTACCAAACAAAACAGAATGAGTGTATCACACAAAACAGCCCTTCCTGGTGTGGCTCATTTGGTTGTGCTATGTCCGGCAAAGTAAAAGGTCACTGGTTCGGTTCCTGGCCAGGGCATATGCCTGGGTTGCAGGTTTGTCCTTGGTCAGGGTGTGTTCGAGAGGCAACCAATCTGTTTCTCTGCCTCTCTTTCTCCTTCCCTTTACCTCTAAAAATAAATAAAGTTTTTTAAACAAGCACAAACAAAAAACCCTGAAAAGGCTATATACTGACCACTGAGAGGCATCTGTCAGTGAGTACATGCTGTGTGGGTCAGAGGTGATGCTGCATAAAGTCCTGTGTCACGACCACATATTTATTTTTTAAAACAATTTTATTGAGGTATAATTGAAATGGCTCAAATTTAATGTGTACAGTTTGATATCTCAACATATTTATATACCCATAAAACCATCACCAGTCAAGATGATAAATATATCCACTGTCCCCTTCACCAGTTTCCTCATGCCCTTTTGTAGTCACTCCTCCTGTCCTCTTCTACTTACCCATCTGCTTTGTCACTATACATTAGTTTGCATTTTCTAGAATTCCACAAAAATTGAATCATATTGTATACATTTCTTCATAGCTCTTAAAACCAAGATGAAAAATCAGATTTTGCCCTTAGACCATTCATTAGTAAGTATCTCAACTGTAATTGGATCAATAACAGAGACATATTGGGTGACAGTTAACATAAAAGCATTATCACTTTTAAGTAAACTTGTAAACCTTAGACTTCACAATTTTCATGTTCTGATGATTCTGAAATCAAAATAATAAAAAATAACTCAATTTGGAAGCCACAAGAGGGCTGGGCGTGCATATGCCTGTCACCTGCCAGGATTTCATATTTAAATAAATGCTGTAGGTCAACTAAAATTCTTGCCAACTCTCATGTAATTTTGATGTTACTTAATGAGGTTGGCTGGCAGTGATTATTTTAATGTGGTGGTTTTCCTAGAATACAGACTAAAACAAACAATTTCGTTATTTGAATATTTTAGGTGGGTAGTGTCTTTCACTTTAACACTCTCCATTTCAATGTGCTTTAAAGCCTCCCCCTTGGATTCTAGGCTTGAATGTTTATTTCCAGTTTGATTATTTTCAGATATTTCCTTCTTTCAAGTTCTTAAATGTTATTGCCTATCTTCACCCATCTTCTATTGGGTTGGCCAAAAAGTTCATTTGGTTTTTTTTTTCCATAAGATGGCTCTACTAGTGCTGAGTTGTCTTGAATTTCATTCAAAACAATTTTGTTAGATTTGTATCAAAGACAGTTGTCATATCAATGTGCACTTTGAAAAACATCAAAATTGGTAAATGTTTTTGTAGCCGTTTTTAATGTTGAAGGTGGAAAAAAATACCCAACATTCAACATTATGCTTTATTATTTTAAGAAAGGTAAAAACGCAACTGAAATGCAAAAAAGGAAATCTGTGTAGTGTATGGAGAAGGTGCTGTGGCTGATTGAATATGTCAAAAGTGGTTTGCAAAGTTCAATGCTGAGATTTTCACTGGATGATGCTCCACAGTAGGGTGGATAAGTTGAAGTTGATAGTGATCAAATAGAGACATCGAGAACAATCAACATCCTACTACCTGGGACAGAGCCAACAGACTGAAAATATACAAATCAATAAAGTTATTGGTGAAAATGAATGAAAAATGTGTTTTATGGAAAAAACTAAATGGACTTTTTGGCTAACTCAATACATACATTATCTCCCTAATGGTCTTATTCATCTCTATGGCTGAAAAGACTGTCTAGAGTGACACTAATCTCTCTCCAGTGTATGGTTGGCTCTATCCTTTTTTCCAGGTTTTCATGTGTGCTTCAGAGACATGAATTTCTAATCACCTTCTGGTCACCTCCATTTAAGCCACTAGTAGGCACTGTTGATCTTTCAGTAGGTACTGGACATTGTACAATACACTCATTTTCTTTGGCATTTTATTCAAGGGTGTGGCAGTGTCACCTTTTAAATATTTTTATTTATTTTTAAAGAGAGGGGGAGGGAGGGAGGAAAGAAATATTGATCTGTTGCTTCTTGTATGCGCCTAACCAGGAACCAAACCCACCACCCAGGCATGTGCCCTGACCCAGAATGGAACTGGCCACCTTTCACTTTGTGGGATGACACCCAACCAACTCAGTCACACCAGTCATAACAGCGTCACCTTTTTGTAGATGAGATCACAGCCAGGCCATGAACTATTTTCTATTCACTTTCCTTGCCAACAGCCATTACTAGTGTTTTTACAAAGCATACAATTTGCAAGCTATAGGGGAGGGGTGTCAAACTCATTTTCAGTGGGGGCCACGTCAGCCTCACGGTTGCCTTCAAAGGGCCAAATGTAATTTCAACTCCCTAACAGTTAAGGAGTACTAAAATTATTTCAGCCCTTTGAAGGCAACTGCAAGGCTGACGTGCCCCCCCCCCCCCCCCCCCCCCCCCCGTGAAAATGAGTTTGACACCCTTGCTATAGTGGAAGAAGCTTATTGTTAAAGAAGGTGTGGTTCAAGGGGTAGTGCAGGATCAAAATCTCTGCGATGTCATGAATATGTTAAAACACTACATTAGAGCTGATGTTAAAGGTGGTGATTGAATAGGCAAGGACAGTGTGTGGATATCTCCTTGATTTGGCTAGTCCTTTACAGTTCCTCTCATTTGATGCTTCTGACTCTCTACCAAAGGCAAAGAATTTAGCATAACTTGAAATCAGTTGATATGAACTCACTCGCATGTTAAAAACTTGAAGATTTGTCCCAGAATGCCTGCTGTCACAATCCTCAAGGAATTTATCATCTGGCTGAGGCAGGAAAAAAACATTACCTACTGAATTTAAGAGCTGGGACATTACTAATCCCACTTATCCTGTAGATACTGGTGTAGTTAAATTTACATACACTTCCTTAAATTTAACACAGGGCATAATAACTTGGTTTTACAAGTGAGGAAACAAATTAACATTAAATCGGCTTGCCTGGGGTCAGGATTAGAGTCGGGACTAGAATTAAGCATTCTTAAGGTCACAGGCCAATGCTCATTATAATTTACCACACTTTTCCCTGAAGGGAAAAAGGAAGTAGCAACAGAATAATGCAAAAATGTCTTACCCAAGACTTCAGTAATGGCCAAGGAAAATAAATGGTTTAAATGCCAAGAAGGAAGAATGCTCCTGGAGTAGAATTTATCTTAAGCCCCTTACTGAATTTGTTAGGATTACCTTACAGTTGGCTAACAATAAGTCTGCAAGCATGAGATTCATACAATTATGCACCATTCCAAGGTTAGTATAGTTCTAGTGCTCTGTATATTGTCTGATTATACAATTGACAAGAACACAAACACATGCTTAAAGTAGGGATTGTGGTCATACATAAAAATCCCTTCTGTCAAAGTACTTGTAAATGAATTGGAAAGGGTACTTGCCACCTCCCCCCAAAATAACTAGTTACATATAAATAATTGCATAAGTAATTAATATAAAATTGCTGGGTAGGAGATGGGTGGATAGCTTAATTCACAAACCTTCATGTAGGGTATTTGGCTCAGTTTTTAAAAGTGGGCTAATTCTGGGAATTAACATTGGGAAGGAAAGAAAAAAATCACGAGTGAAGCTGGCTGGGGGAGGCTCTGGTAGTGCATATTTAGGCACATTCTGGAATTTCTCAATTGCCTAAAAGATCATAGATTTGTAGAGGTGACAAAGAGGCCTCAGAAATATTAGTATTATCTTAAGGATTTTATTTTTGGACAGAAGGGAGGGAGAAAGAGAGGAGAGAAACATCAATGTGTGGTTGCCTCTCACTAGCCCCCAACTTGGAACCTGGCCAGCAACCCAGGCATGTGCCCTGCCTAAGAATCTATCAGGCAACCCTTTAATTCACAAGCCCACACTCAATCCACTGAGACACACCAACCAGGGCATAAATATTAGTATTTTTGTAACGTGGGTGGACTGAAGGCAGAAAAGGCAAAGACAGATAAACTGAATCCAGGATTTCACAAATGTCTGAAAGGGGATCAAACGTCCAATAGCAAAATTCCTGCCGTCACAGAATTTAAGCAGTCAGGAGAGCAGAAGCTGAACAAAATTACTGTACGTCAATTATATAACAATTAAGAAGTGCAAAATGGAATAGAGAAAATCCGGAGAGCACCATAGTATGTATTTTTGGTTCCAACACAGACCTGAAGAGCAGTGGGGGATACGTCTTGAGCCCATCCGTGGCACATGCGAAGGCGAAGGGACCAGCGGGTGTAGCATTACAGAATTTACAGCTGGACAAGGCCCACGGGATGCGAAATTAGGAGGGCGAAATTCCTGGGGTAAAAGCTTTCCACCTACACTAAGCAGATGTCTGCCAGAAGAGGGCCATTGGACAAACGGCCGTTGGTCAGACTTAAGTCTTCCAGTGTTACCATATCTCACCTCCAACTCCGAGGTCGCGCCGCCTGCAACAACGGGCGGTCGTGAGTGCTTTGCGGGGGAAATGGGCGGAGCTTCCGTTGCTCCACCCGTGACCTGAACGCTGACGGAGAGGTTAAAGGTCAAAGGTTCTAGCGGGAGCTGTTATGGCGGCGCTGTGTCGTACCCGTGCTTTGACTTCCGAGAGTCATTTCCTGCGTGTGTTCCTCTTCTCTCGGCCTTGTCGAGAAGCAGGCACTGTGACTGACTCCGGAAGCGAGAGTTCTGAATTCACGGAGTGTAGAACGCGCCCACGCGGCTTCGCGAGCGCCCTGGAGCGGCAATCGGCGCTTGGGCGGACAAGGGTAAGACGCGGGTACAGTCCCAGAGACAGCGGCAAGTGGGGCAGGGAGTAGGGCGGAGCCCGGCGTGGGGAGGTGCGGCCGATAGTGGGCGGGCTCTGATGTAGTAGGTGGAGCCAGGAGTCAGGAGGGAGTCCGGCCGGAGCCTGGCTTTGGAGGGGTGGGGCTGAGCTATTGGGCGGGGCCTGCGGTAGGGATTGGAACGCGGACTTCAGGGTGCTTCTTGGTCCACAGGCCACTTGGAAGTGGGCATTTGGTTGCTGTTTTTCCTCCTTTGTGCTTTTGTGCGGTATTTACATTCTGGACCTGCCACGTCTACACTCTCTTGCTCTCTTGTCTTCTTGAGGCAATGTGGGACTCGCCTCCTGGACTCGCAGGCGAATCTAACTCACACCGAAGAGGCTGCTGGGCTCTCTGCTTGTCTTGTTTTAGACTTTAGCTCCAGGGTGGTGCTTAGTGCAATTCAGTGGATAGGTAAATGAGAGAATCAGTGTCCATATGAACTTGAGCATAACAGTTTAACCTGTCAGTGTGCCTCACTTCTCTGTGAATGACTTTTAAAAATTCCCACTGATTGGCGCAATACTTTTGTAAAATACAATAGAATTGGTAGATAAAAGAAATGGAAGAAATAGACATAAATGCAAGCCAGATTTTAAAAAAATTATTAGACTCAGCGTACGTAAAATTGGATGTCTGGCAATATAAAGTTACACGAAAACAGTTTCTCTACTTACCTCCTTGGGGACTAGTACCAAACAGTTCACAGACTGTTAGTGTCCTGGATTGTAGACAAAAAAAAAAAAAAAAAAATGCCTGGCATGTAGCCCAGTGCTTGGCCCTTAGCACCCTTAGCGGGATCTCAGTAACTGTTTGCCAAATGGGTGAAGGAATGAATTGTACAGGTAGTGCATATGTGAACTTCAAAAACAGTTTATAAATGAAAATAGTACAGGTTTTAACATATCAGTTGTGAGCACATCCAGAATAATTGATCGAAAACAATAACAAGAGTAATAAGATAAATGTAAATACTTTAGATTTTAATATTAATTGGAAAATTTCAGTGCTTTTCTGACTTTGTGTATTTATGCTGAGAAATATGAACAGTAATTAGGTGTAGAGAGATGAAACTTTCATAAAGTTTCTTTTTTTATGAAAGAAACTTTCACTTAAAAAATTCTCACTCAAGGATATATTTATTGATTTTACAGAGAGAGGAAGAAGGGGAGAAACATCAATATGAAGGAGAAATATTGAAATATCAATCAAAATATCGATACTTTGCCTCCCATGCATGCCCAACCTGAGATGGAACTTGCAACCTAGGTATTTGCCTTGACCATGTATCAAACCTGCAGCCTTTTGATGTATGGGACAGTGCTCCAACTAACTAAGCCACCAGGGACTCACTTTTTGGTTTTGAAGTTTCTGGTGCTGTTTAATTGACAAGTATCCTTAGGATGAATAAAGTTCATCTCTGTTGTGTGCTCTATGGGAGACCATTCTGCCTGGCATGGGCCAAGCCCCCAGTGGCAAACATTTACTGCAAAGTAACTTCCTAAAATCCATGCTAAACCTTCCAAGGACAAGTGTAATCGGCTTAACCACTTTTGCCCTTTTCACTTGCAAATACCCCTCTTCTGTGATGTGATTAGCAGCTTTGACTCCTTTCGTTTCTGTAAAAGGTAACCACCTAAAGCAACCTGAGCATAGAAATGAGGACCGTAGTGTAAAGTGCTGAGAAACCCAATAAAAGCCGGCCATAGCAAGGGCCGAGCTCTGCTTTTGCTCCCCTTGAGAGAAAAGCCATGCTGTCCCTTTTCCTCCACCGGACTTGGTAGTCCATGTGAATGTCTCATTTCATCCATAATGACTTGGACACTGCGGGCCGGTGCTCAGGATTTTTGAAAAAATTAATTTTACAAAGCAATGTTTACTTAAAAAAATTTAAATAGCGCTCATGGTTATTACGGGAAGAGTTAAAGCCTCCTGTTTTCCTCATTTTCTCAAGACTGGAGGATATTTTAGAAAGTGCAACTTTTAGAGATTTTTATATATGCATATATAAATGTAAACTAATTAAGTACAAGTGGTCATAATTAAAAACTCACAAATTGGTTGGTGCAGTTTTACTGTTTCAGAGTGTAAGCTCTGGAATCAGACAGTGCTGGTTCAATTATGGTTCTGTCAGTGGATGTGTGTACCCATTGGTTTAATTCTTATTCTTAAAGTACAGACTTATGTGTCTATATGAATGCCTCAGAAATAAGTGATATTCAGTAAGAGCCAAGCAAGTTATCTTTTAAAGGGACTTTTCTCTGTGGGTAGGAATTTAATCAAGGACAATTCATGATTTCTGTGAGGTTACTAGTTAAAAGGATGTCAAGTTTAAATGACATGAAATATTCCATTGTTTTGTGCGGAGGGATGCCCTCTTCCCATGCTCACTTACCCACTTTTCTTTTCCTTCGCTTCATTATCTTTAATACTGGTTTATGCATCTGTGTCTTCAACTAGTTCACCCCTCCCCCAACCCGGGGTAGGGACCAAGTTCTTTTCATTTCTGTAACCAACATAACATGTAAGAGGACTAGTAAAAGATATATACTTTAAGGCTGTTAGCTTTGTCTTAAAATTTTTTTTTAAGTGTTTTAGAACCTTTAACCCTCATAAATTGGTAGAGATATGTAGAACCTGTTAAACTGATTCAGAGCTGTGCTATAGCTGATCACCCATCGTACAGCCACAAGGTGGCAATAGTTGAGCAAAGAATTGGTTTTCTATTGTATGAGTATTACTGTTTCTTAAGGGTAGAGGATGGCATATTACTCTTCAGCACAGTGGAAAAATGATTTGCAAGAGTGTTTAAGACCACACAATAGAACATTTTATTATTTTAAGATGGAAGATTAACATTTTACTATTTTAGCTTATCTCTGTAGAATATTGATGTTATAAGACAGTTTATAGTTTCATTTTAGTGATATATTAAGTAGATTTTATGCAGATATTTTCAAATGTTACTTTTAACTTTATCATGAATATTTTTATTGTTTTTTTATTTCAAGTGCTGGAATATTCCAGACCACAGAATATTTAAATATATTTTACATTTTCAGAATACTGGGGAAACCCAAAACTACAGTTTATTTACTGGATTTGTTCCACCATACAGCAGAAAAGTCTCATTTTTAATGTACGTTTTAAGTGTGCTAAATTAACATACTAGTAATATCATATACTTTTATTTAACACTGTTTTTATACTAGCTTTATATTGACAACTTTAAAAATAATACCCATATTTAAAAAATTTAAACCTAAAGGAATGTTGAAAACATTTCTGCTTCTAACCATGGTGCCCCTGATTTTACATTAGAGGATTCTAGGATTGTTATTTCTGAGTTAGAATAAAATGTTCTGAAATCTTTAGTGTTGTAGTGCAATCTAACATTTTCAAAGCATGTTTGAAGGAAATGACCAGTTAGTATAAAAACAATGAAAGAGTGTGTTGAAGTAGATATAAATCTCCAGGGAAAGTAAATTTTTATCAACATCAACACCAATAAAATGCTTATAAATAACATTATACTTTTCTAGAGGAAAATATGAAAATATTCCGCATGTATTTGTTTCATGAGTAGTCATGGCTTAATTATAAGCAGTCAGACTCTTACGACTTCTCAAGGCAGCATTAGCTTTTACTATTTATATATCTTTCTTAAGTCTTGCATTTGCTTAGTAATCACACTCCCTCCTTTTAATGTGTTTGGACTTCGTTTTGTTTTTTCTAAAGTTATATTAAAAATTTTTTAATTATATTAAATTTTATAACACGATTATAACTCGTAGGTTTATTCCGATTGGCATTAAATATCAGGAAATAAAGGAAATCCACATTTGAGTGGAGTCTAGTTTGTAAGGATTTGGGAGTAAAATTCAACAGCGTTGATTCCGTTTAAACATGTGGAAATTCTGGTGTTTGCAATGGACAGAGGATAAATGATAGATGCTCTGTCTAGGAGTAGATGACTCAACAAGTCCCCTGACCTAGTTGAGGTGTTGTGTTCTCCCAAAGGAAATAAGTACATACTGAGGCAGAGAGTATTGATTCCAGAGAAATTAAAACTTACCGTATTTTCATATAAAAATCTCTTCACAAATGTTCTTAACAGTTTTACTTGTAATAGCCCAAACTGAAAACAGCCCAGATGTCCTTCAGCTAATCAGTGGTTAGACAGACTTTAGTCCATCCATAGAATACTAAGCAATACAAAGGAGCAAGCAATTGATACGCATCAGCTTGAATGACTCTCAAGGGAATCATATTGAGTGGAAGAGGCAGTCCCAAAGGGTTATGTTTTGTACCATGTGATTCCATTTGACCAACATTCATGAAATGACAGAATCATAGAGATGGAGAACAGATCAGTAGATGCTAAATGTTAGGGAAGAGGAGATAGTAGAAGGGAGATAGGGAGCCGTAAAAGGACAACACAAGGGGTCCATGTGGTGCAGGAACTATCCTGCAACTGGGTGGTGGTGGCGAATGCAGGTGAATGCACATGTGTTGGAGTTGTATAAAAACTGGTGAAATCAGTTTCCTGTGTCTTACAGTATGTTACCATTGGAAGAATTGGGTAAATGGTATAGGGTTGTCCATGTATTATTTCTTAAAATTGAGTATGTATTTACAATGGTCTCAAAATAGGAAGTTTAATTTTTTAAAAATCATTTCATTAGTCTGTTAGGTCCAGCACTGGAAAGATCAGTGAATTCCGCAAGCCAAAGCCCATTTTCTCACATCATTTCCTGTACAGTGATTTCTTTGGTTAGAAGCAATGCTGTGTGGAGTACTATAACAACGAATACCAAATTCTCTGTTTATGGATAGTGCTTTCGATAGAAGGTTTTTGGGCAGGGAAGGCAAACCCGTATTCAGAATATGTATTCCAGTGATAATACATTCATTTAGAATAGTCCTATGTCATCAACCTACCACCTGGTGGTGGCTGATTCTTCCAGGGAGTGATGTTATGTTGGAAGCTTAGTACTGGTCTGTGCTCTTGGCACTTGGTCATTTAGCAGTCTTGGTAGCCAGATCAACCTTGGCAAGTAGAAGTCATTGTTTCTAAATCCACAGGGGGCCTGGGGCCACTTAGTCAGAGGTGTGAGAGCTGGGGGCTCACTGAGGCTGGCTGTTGCTTCTTTGAGAGGTTTAGGGAGATATGAAGCCTGAGCTGAGACCAGCCATTCATATGGAAAAGCTGTTGACAAGTTGGGTGGCCCATAAGCTAGGTAGGGTGGATCCTCAGGGATTCCTAGTATGGAGCAAACAGTGTTAGCCAGGTAGTGGAGTCTCACATATGGCATCAGCCTGCTGTCTTCGTGGCTCTGTGACTCTGTGGGGGGAGGGCTCAGAAGTGGAACAATGGCTTCTGCCAGTTTTTCTGTCTGGGAGCAAGCTGTCTCCCAGCTCTTGCTCTGATGCCAGACGATTCACTTCCTCCCCGTATGCCACTGGTGCCTCTAAAGCAGCCACCCTGGTGTTAGAGCCCAGAGGGAGTCTGAATTAAGTTCGTGTGTGGCCCCTTTAAGAGGAACTGCTTGGGATTCCAGTAGTTACTTTCATTGACTCCAGCTCTGCTGGTTTTTATAGCCAGAAGTTATGAGGGCTTATCTTCCAGGTACTGGAGCCCTGGCCAGGGGTGCTGGTGTGGGGCTGGGACGCCTCACTCCTCAGATATTTCTCCCCAGTTTTTATCCACCACATGTGGGTATGGGACCAGCCCATTCCGCATCTCTGCATCTCCTACCTGGATGGATATGGTTTCTTTAGTTCTGTAGTTGTTGGACTTCCATTCAACTCGGTTTCTGACAGTTTTGAGTGATGGTTTTTCTATAGTTTAGTTGAAATTTTGATGTGATTGTGTGAGGAAATGAACTGTGTTTGCCTACACCTCTATCTTGGCTGGAAGTTCTATGATCAGTTCTTAAAGAAAGCAGTCAACTCTAAGACATCTATTTTAACTATGATAACTCTATAAATGAGCTCCATAGCAACATTTTTCATAACCAGTGTTGGACATTAGCTCCATAATACACCCTGCAGGTGACGGTGTGCCTATAGTCTCTGCGTCCGCATCATGAGGAGAGGAGCTAATGTTGGTTGTTAGCATGGATTGAAGGTGTTGCTATGCTATATTTAGTATTTTTAGAAGCCATTTGACAAGTATATGAGGAATTCAGAGATGTTTCTACACTGCGATTTTTCGAAGGAGGGCTTTGTCTGAGTATTTGGTATAGTTTCCAAAAGGCACAGTGAGTCTACAACTGAAAAGCAAATTTAGGTGTTAATCCAGGGGTCACCAGAATAGAGAGCTCAGCACTAAACCCACAAAACAATGTAAATTAATTTATGACAAAGGAGCTAAGAATGTATAATGCGGAAAGGATAGTCTCTTTAATAAATGAAGTTCGGAAAATTGGACAGCCACATCAAAAGAATGAAACTGGACCACTATCTTACACTATAAATAAAAATTACCTCAAAATGGATTAAAGACTTGAGTATAAGACCTAACACCATAAAAATTTTAGAAGAAAATAGGTGGTAAGTTCCTTGGCATTGATTGGTCTTAGAGATAATTTTTTAATCTCATACCAAAAGCAAAAGCAACAAAAGCAAAAATATGCAAGTGGCACTACATCAAATTTGAAAGCTTCTTGTGGCAAAAGAAACCATCAACATAATAAAAAGGCAATTTATTATGTTGCCTATTGAATGGCAGAAAATATTTGCAAATCATATACCTAACATGTGATGTTAACATATATGAAGAACTCATACAACTCAACAGCAAAAAAAAAAAAATGAAACAAACACAACCTGATTTAAAAATGGACAGAAAAGTCTGGACATTTTCCCAAAGAAGACATGTGGATGGCCAACAAGTACGTACAAAGATGCTCGACATCACTAATCATCAGGAAAATGTATATCAAAGTTACAATAAGATAATACCTCGCACCTGGTAGAATGGCCATTATCAAAAAGACTAGAAATAACAAGTGTTGGAGAGGCTGTGGGGAAGAGGGAACCTTTGCACTGCTGGTGGGATTGCAGATGGTTACAGCCACTATGGAAAACAGTATGGAGGTTCCTCAGAAAATCAAAATAGATCTACCATGTGACTCAGCAATTTCACTTATGTGTATTTGTCCAAAGAAAATGGAAACACTAACTTGCAATAGTATATGCACCCCCATGTTCATTGCAGCATTATTTACAGTAGCCAAGTAGCCATCAATTATTTCACCATTAAAAAGAAGGAAATCTTACAGTTTGTGATAACATGGATGGATCTAGAGGGCATTGTGCTGAGTGAAATAAGTCAGAGAAAAACAAATAACATATTATCTCACTTGTGTGTGAAATTTAAACAAACTAACTAAACCCCAAATTAAACAACAAAAAACTCCAAGTTCATCAATGACAGAGAACAGATGGTGTTTGCCATAGATTGGGGATGAGGGAGGGTGGGCAAATGGGTCAGGGGTCAAAAGGTATAAACTGTCAAGTAAATCATGGGATGTAATTTATAGCATGTTGACTTACAGTTAAAACTGTATTGCATATTTGAAAATCACTGAGAATAGATCTTAAAAGTTCTCATCACAAGAAAAAAATAACTGGTGAGGAATGATAACTAGACTTATGGTGGTAATAAGTGTGTACAATAATAATCAGTGTGTACAATTGAATCATGTTGTACACCTGAAACTAATATAATAATATGTCTGTTATACCTCAGTAAAATAATTATTCATAATTTTGTCATGTTTATAATATATATTCACAACAGATTCACTAAAAATCTCAAGGTATCTTTTTAAGTATTATTTGAGAACAGTCAGGTATTTTCTGAAACTTAAGGGGAAATACCATGTACTGTCATACTGAGCCCAAACATCTCTTCAGAGTTATAAAGGAGATTATGTTATTTTAGGAACAGGTCCCAGTAATGGCTGAGTTATTTTCAATAAATGTTTAACTATTGAATTTAGTGCTGGATCTTCCTGTTAACTAAAGCTGTTTTATTTAGACCGGGGCAGCTTCAACTGGAAGTCTTGAAAAAAAAAAACCGTGGAGGAAGAGAGGGGAAGGGAAGAGAAAGGAGGAGGAGCAGAGGGATGAGCTGTCAGCCACCGGAAGGGGTAATGTGAAAGCAGGTCATAGGGCAAAGTGGGAAGAACCTGTCTGATTGTGAACAGGTTGAGACCTTCAAGCTGATAAGCTCTGTGCTACTCTGGTGGCAGCTGCTTTGGATGACTTAGGGCTCCCAGCAGATTATAGTAGCTGTTCTTGTCACTGGTGACTTCCTTTGCATTACCTGTAGGGAACAATTCATAGCTATGTGTGTGTAGAGCCTGGAGAATGTGTTTCCTTTTTTACTTTCTTCAATAAAGAACTGTTTTTTCAAGATGCTTAAGGACAGTAATTATTATACTATGTGGAGTTATAAAAGTAGTATTAATGGCTCAGAGTATAATATTCCTGGCTACCCTTAGCTCTGCTTGGCACCTAGGTCTACTGACTTGTCTTTGGTTTGGATTGACCCTTATGTACTGAAGATTCCTTCCCAGTGTGTTTCAACCCACTGAAATAAGTCCATCAATGCACCCCTTCCCAGCATCTAAGGGACTTGGCATCAGCTGAACACATTTTCACTTTTTTTTTTTTTTTTTGAGGCAAAGGTCATAAACTTTTTGGTCCATGGGCCACAACATGTTTTGCCAGATTTATAAAATGAAAACCTTTTCAGTATGTACACATTTAAAAATTACAAATTTTACATTACTGTATGGATTTCCAGCTTTTCCTGGAAAAATCAAAAGATGTGGAAACACTGGACTAGTTGCCACATCTTTTGAGCAGTGGCTGTACTTCAGACTGGCACGTGCTCTTCTGCTTACTAAGCCCCACTTGGCCTGTATTCAAGTTTGTCATTGTGGGAGTACTGCATATATTAACATTTAGTCAGAAATATGGTTTTGAGTTTTTAAAGTAAGTATACTGATAGTATACTACAAAGAGAATTATCTCTTAATAATTCTCTTTTGAAAAACAAAAGTAAAACTCATCCCAAATACAGGATGTATGTAGTTGGATCAAATTGTTAACATTCTGTAATTAACTCTTTTAAATAAAATGCAGGACTTTCCTTAGTTTGAGCCAAAGTACACACATATCACACCCTACATGGATTAAAGATGAATCAAAGGCACAAATCTGTATTCATGGAAAAAAATGTTATAAGTTTTTTAAAAAGTAATGATCCTGTATTATTCTTTCAGTCACAGCTCAAGTAAATTCAGTATGTAAAATGACTCCCAGAAATAAGCAGCACAAAGCAATTAAACAAGCTGTTTTTCCTTTGAAGAAAATAATAACAAAAGTTAAGCCATTTAAAATATTGCATAACGAATTCATGTTCAGCCTGCTCATTGAAGAACATTTTTATTTGTTGTAGTAGAAGAATAGTTACCCTCACTAAACCTGAATTTGGGGCATCTTTTTTTGCAGAGGGTCAGTAGTAGGAATAAAATCCATTGCTTCTTGGGCGTCTTCCTCATGTGCTCAGACTTCCCCTCCTTCCCTACGTGGGGAGGCTTTGTCCAAAACCAGTTCTAACCCTGCTCACATTCCAGATTCCATTCTGGGCCACCCAGTTCATGCTATTCCATACCAAGTGCACATGCCTGCTTTTCTCTGGCTCCTCTTCACAAAAGAAAAGGGAGAAAAAGGAAGTTGAAGAACATACCTGGCATTTTAAAAACAAAATTCTATGTAATTATTTTTATTATTGCTATAAAATGTAAATTATACAGCAAATTGACTTTTTAAATTTTTTCTTGTAAGACTTTATTATACCCACCATATTATACCTTTATATTGAATTATGTGCATATAAATGTCTCTTTTCATATTTAGAGCTCTCTGAAAAATGTGGAATCCTTTGCATCTATGCTGAGACATTCTCCTCTCACTCAGATGGGACCTGCCAAGGATAAAGTAGTCATTGGACGAATCATTCATATTATGGAGAAGGATCTTTATATAGATTTTGGTGGCAAGTTTCATTGTGTGTGCAAAAGACCAGAAGTGGATGGCGAGTAAGTAGAATCATTTCCAAGTGCTTTAAGAGTGTTCACAAAAGTTGAGATACCTCAAAGGTATTACTGGACTTTAATTGGTGGTTTTTGAAAACAGAAAATAAGCTTATATCTCTTTATAATGCTGGTTAGTGAGCTTAGGCCAGATTTATGTTTTCTCAAAGCAGTGAGAAGAGTTTAGGGGAAGATTTGAATGTTCATCATTTTTTTCCCCAAATAAACAACAGTTAAGGCTTACGCCCTGTTGCTCTCTGGTTCTGCAGTCTAGTGGTTATTACCAAATTGTGCTGAAGGGAGTAGTTCGCTTCACCCAGGATTGAACCCGAAGGGCCAGTTACTTCCTTCCCTTCTACCTACATGTGCACCTATACTGATGGCTATGTCAACAGATGGGTTTTTTTCTGAGAAAAAATTTCCCAACTTAGCAAATTCCTTGTCCAGTTTTTACTTTATCATAGAAAGCAGGGTAATAGTTTTCACAATATTTGTTAAATCTCTTGATTGCTGTGTGTAGAAATGCTTAGGTTCTTTTCAAAACCCTTCTGGATCTCTTATAGCTACCTGTCACTTAGCTTTGAAATTATGCTGATTTGATACTTTCTACAATACTCTTAATTTCTCTTTCAGTTACTTTGCCTTTCTACCTGAGTACAAAACAAAATTTGTGGGTGGGAGATATTTTATATAAACCTTATCTGTTGTCTTTATCAGTGGTAGAAGGTTGATAACACCAAATGGGAAGGTCAAGTTGGGTCTCCGGTTTTCCCCTTTTCATACCTAGAGAATGTGGCCGGCCAGATAGAGCCACTATTGGTCTGGATCCATGTTTGCTCTCTACCTGCATAATGCCACACCTCTAACTGAGCAGACTCTGGGAGACTAAGTCTCAGTAATGGCAGATTCCTGCTTTGAGACATTTATTTAAATGACTCTAAATAAGAAGTAGGTATTTACATACTTTGTTTATTATTCATCAGCCTAATCTTTTTTTAATCCCCTTTGGTAACTATTTTTCTCTTTATTTAGACTTGTGTGTACTTGAATTTATTTTGCTTTAGGACAATTTATAGACTAATTAATTAAATACAATGAAAAATAACTCAAATTTAATAAAATAACCAGCTTAGCAAATGTTTTAATTCTTTTATTATTGCTTTAGATAAATTCAATGTCATTTCAGACTCAGAGTAACTAATTTTTTGTTAACTGAATTAGTTAACCAAATAATACCCTAATAATAATACCTAATTAGTAAAATAATACCCTGTTAATAAGTTCTGTAACTTTTTTGTTTGATATTAGATTTTTAAAATATATTTTATTGATTATGCTATTACAGTTGTCCCATTTTCCCTCCTTCATTCCCCTCCACCCTGCACACCCCCTCCCACCCACATTCCCCCCCTTTTAGTTCATGTCCGTGTGTCATAAGTTCTTTCGTTTCTACATTTCCCACACTATTCTTGCCCTCTCCCTATTTTCTACCTACCATCTAGGCTACTTGTTCTCTGTACCTTTTCCCCCATCTCTCTTCCTCCTACTCCCCTGTTGCTAAACCTCTTTGTGATCTCCATTTCTGTGGTTCTGTTACTGTTCTAGTTGTTTTCTTAGTTTGCTTTTGTTTTTGTTTTAGATGTGGTTGTTAGTAATTGTGAGTTTGCTATCATTTTACTATACATGTTTTTTATCTTCCTTTTCTTAGATAAGTCCCTTCATTTCGTATAATAAGGGCTTGGTGTTGATGAACTCCTTTAACTTGACCTTATCTGAGAAGCACTTTATCTGCCTTCCCATTCTAAATGAAAGTTTTGCTGGATAGAGTAAATCTTGGATGTAGGTCCTTGCCTTTCATTACTTGGAATACTTCTTTCCAGCCCCTTCTTGCCTGGAAGGTCTCTTTTGAGAAATCAGTCTGATGGCAACTCCTTTGTAGGTAACTGTCTTCTTTTCTCTTGCTGCTTCTAGGATTCTCTCCTTCATTTGAATGTTGGGTAATGTAATTATGATGTGCCTTGGTGTGTTCCTTCTTGGGTCCAACTTCTTTGGGACTCTCTGAGCTTCCTGGATTTCCTGGAAGTCTATTTCCTTTGTCAACTTTTTTGGGACTCTCTGAGCTTCTTGGAAGTCTGTTTCATTTGCCAGATTGGGGAAGTTCTCCTTTATTATTTGTTCAAATAAGTTTTCCACTTGTTGCTCTTCCTCTTCCCCTCTGGTACACCTATAATTTGGATGTAGGAATGTTTAAAGATCTCCTGGAGGTTCCTAAGCCTCTCCTCAATTTTTTGAATTCTTGTTTCTTCATTCTATTATGTTTTATTGTTTCTTTTTTCCTTCTGGTCCACTCCATTGATTTGAGTCCTAGTTTTTTTCCATCACTGTTGGTTCCCTGTGCATTTTCTTTCATTTTACTTAGTGTAGCCTTCATTTTTTTCATCTAATTTGTGACCAAATTCAACCAGTTCTGTGAGCATCCTGATCAGCAGTGCTTTGAACTATGCATCTGATAGGTTGGCTATCTCTTTGTCACTTAGTTGTATTTGTTCTGGAGCTTTGATCTGTTCTTTCATTTGGGCGTTTTTTTTGTTGTTGTTTGTTTGTTTTTGTCTTGTGGTGCCTGTTACATAGTAAGGGGCGGAGCCTTAGGTGTTTATCAGGGCAGGGCAACTCAGTTGCTGGGTTGTGATGCTGTATGTGGGGATAGGGTCTGAGAGGGAACAATGGAACTTGCTCTGCTCTCTGTCAGATTTCAGTCTCTTTTGTGGCTTCCGCCAAACAAACTAGGCCCTTCTTGTGCTGATTCCCATGTGGGTGGACTTGTGTACATTGTAGGACCCTGTGGGTTTCTCCAACGAACTCTCCTATGAGGCTGGGAGTCTCTCCTGGCACCACAGCCTCCCACAGGTGTTTTCAACCCGTGTTTTGAGGCTTTATTTCCCCGAGTTGGGACCCTGGGTTGCGTGGTCTGTCTTGCTCCCCAGTTTCGCCTGGTTCATCTGCATTGGAATGTGGGACCGCCTGGTCAGCCAGCTGCCTTGCATGCTGTGCTCTGCTCCCCATTCGCTGCCTTGGTGGGTCTGCCCACTGCTACCCTGAGCCTGGGGTCTGACAGCCGCCCCCGGCACACCCAGGTTTTGTCAGCTGCTGCCTTGCATACCCAGGGTGCGAAAGCCACCACTTTCTTTCTTTCTTTCTTTCTTCCTTTCTTCCTTCCTTCCTTCCTTCCTTCCTTCCTTCCTTCCTTCCTTCCTTCTCCTTCTTTCTTTCTTTTCTTTCTTTTCTTTCTTTTTTTTTTTTTTTCTCTGACCCCTGGCACCTGACTCCACCTCTCTTACTGTTCTGGATGAATGTGTCTATTTTAACTCCTTGGTTGTCAGACTTCCATACAGTTCAATTTTCTGTCAGTCCTGGCTGTTATTTTGTTTCTAAATTGTTGTCCTTTTGGTTGTACAAGGAGGCACAGTGTGTCTATCTATGCCTCCATCTTGGCTGGTGATACTAGGTTTTCATTGTAGTTTAAAGAAACAGTTTTCAACCTTGTCCCAAGAAGCTCTAGAGCTTTGCATACAAGCTTCCAAGAGTGCCGTGAGGGTAGAGGGGAAGTTAGGCTCTAATTGCAGAGCAACTCTGTGTTTGTTGTTTAAAGTGTGTGGGGCAAATGGTGGTGAATATTTCCACTACAAAAAAGTAAAAAGGTTTGAAAAACATTTTTAAAAGAAAAATTAGTTCTAAAAATACAATACATTAATAGTAACATTTAGAATGTGGTATTTAAGAATGCCAGTGGTATTGTGATCTAGTTAAGAGAGAATTGCAAAATAGAAAATTACAAGTAAATTCAGATTTTAGAAGTGTGAATGGTGTCTAATTCTTACAGCATTGACCTCAAAAGTGGTAACCATTATATTGTTTTTCTTTCATATCACCTTATGACTTAAAATCAGAAATAAGAAATAAGATTTGTAACAGATCAGAAGGACTCTTGAACTAACTTATGGTAGTTATCATTAAATCGGCTGACTTACTAAATTAGTTGGCATTCTGTTCTCTTCTGTAAAACTCACTGACTGATACCAGCACAATATGGACAGTTAAAAAGTAGCTGTCCTCTACTAGACCTGGACACTTTTGCTTTTTCTGTTCAAGGTATGTGTTTAGTAAAAGCTAGTTGTGTTTGTTCTAAGACCTGACTATATTTTTGTTAAATAATTTATTTGATTATTGCATAAACTAATAAAATATGAGTACAGAAAGAGTTTTTGTTCTTACAAAAATAATTAGACTGCATAAAGGAGAGATTAGTTTTGAAACAAAATTGTTATTGAATTAGTTTGAGCAAGTAAACAATGAAGACTGGGCTGGATGGATCATAAAAATTTGGAAGAAATTTTACTTTCTGAATGTCCTTCTGTTCCTGTTTTATTTTAAAGTGACTGACCCTGGCCATCACAGATATTACAGTGAGGTATTGTTTATGTAAGGAGATCAGTGCTGAGCTCCAGAGTGTGAGCATCTACTCAGCAAGAAGGCCAGTCCCTATATCAGAATATTTGTAGTAATCACTAAGTTAATGTATTTACAGTATATGTGTATACTTTTTAACCTGCTTTTCCATGAACTGACCTATGAGTCAGAGAGCTTCTACTGTAACTTAAAAATATAAAGCACCTTGCCCATCATATGAATCTTTCTGCCCTTTTCTTTAGTCATGTTTTTCTTGTCGTAATACAGGGCACAATTTCCCCAAATTTGTCCTAGTGTGCGTTAAGATCTCTCTCCGTATCCCATCTGATAATCTTAATAGCTAGGTTTTTAAAAAACTACATTGTACTTTATGTATATTGTCTGCTTTATTTTTCATAAGAAGCATAGAAAGTAAATGCTATTATCCCCATTTACCAAATGAAGAAAATGAATCTCCCAGCATAAATAGTGTTCCAGTCACAAAACTGGACATTACCAAAGTAGGGACTCAGACCCAGAGCTGTGTGTAGTAAGTGCCC